GACCTACACAGACTGCAGGGTGAATTCCCCCTACTGGCACCTGTCTCTTCCAGCAGCAACCTTAGTCTTTTTTTCCCAGGAAGTCTCCCACCCAGGTACTGACCAGAGTCACACTTGCTGAGCTTCAGTGGGTTACTAGTTGTGAGTTGCAGGGTGATATGGCTGCTGTCTCTAAGGAGTCTTTTTACCTGGGATAGGTCAGACACAGGAAAGAGAGATTACAGAGGGAGGTGAAAACAGTCAGTGAGTAACAGTAAAGAAATCTGTCATGTTTTGGTTTGTCTGTCTATTTCCATACAGATTAAAATTACAGCAAGAAAGAGCTGGACTAGTGAATGAATTTAATTTATAAACTCTTTTGTTAATTTGTCATTTTCTTCCTCTGTATTTTCAAAATCCCTCTCAAATAGACATGATTGGCAAGCTCCAGCAGGTTGTATGTCCCATTCATTTAAAAAAAGACCTAAGGCAATTTATCACATTAATAAATGACAATGAAACAAAATATATGAATGCAGCTGTGCTCAATCCAAGGCACACTAAAAGCATGCAGGAAGTCCCGATGTGTCCTCGGTGATTAAGAGTGCACGTACATGTGTGATGCTGTTCAGTTTGTGAAAAGCCAGCTACGCTGCAGGACAAGTAGCAGAGAACTATTGCCCCAGATCTCCCAGAGAACTAATGGAGCCATACAGCCAGAACAAAACAAAATCTCTTTATCAAACTTTATTAACATTGCCTTGGAACTGAGCAATGAAGATTACTTAACTACACAGGAGACTGATGATATAAAATCTATAGCCACTTTATCATGTATCTGTTTAAAGTATTTATTTATATGCAATATTGATTTAATTATCTCAGTGAAAGGGTTTAAAGAAAATTGTGTTCATCATACTCTGTTCCCCAGGGTAGGCTAAAGGTCTTATCAGATATAATCAAAGCAATATGCCTATATCCAGGCACTATGTCTAATGAAGGCAAAGAACTCAGATGTTTCTCTGATGTAATGTAGAAAGATGTGATTTTAAAACACTTCAACACAACCAAATGGTTTGCTCAAACTATCCAAGGCAAAGCACTGTGAACTTGTCATATTTTTATGCATATTTAAAATATGCATAAAAATATTTTAAGGCAAAATCATTTTGTGATGCAGATCACCTTTCCTTGCTTGTCTGAAGAAGATTCTGAGGAATCTGAATTTTAATAAATAAAGGCAATGACCTGGATTATACAATGTCCTTCAAAACATAAGGCCTACATTAGCTGTTTCTGTTCTGATAGAGTAGTTTTGATTTTATTTACCTTTACACTTATGTAGAAATACTTCCTCTCAGGTTGCTCTCACACCTTTCAGTGTTTCAACAACCTGAAAATAATCTAGTTTCTGGTGTTCAAAGCCTACCAAGGAAGAATTTAAACACATCTTTGTTAAAAGGTGACAGGTTTTGATTTTGTATCTTTCTTATGAGCACAGTTAACATAATTACCTTCACCAGCTGAACAATTGATGCACATGAGGTCATACATTGCTGTGTGGTCAGGCAGTCCAGTGGATGTTAATTGAGAGGGAGCAAATAGCCAAACAGACATGATGGCAGTGATGGAGAGAGACTACAGAGAATGGTAGAGGATGAGGTAACGCATATCTTTATTCCAGTGGTATCTGATCATGCCATAAAAGGCTTCATTTATCTTGTTTTAGACCAAATACTCAATACTAAATGTCTTTCGGAGCTTAAAAAGAAAAAAATCTTCCCCTTTGATAAAAGCAAATCACAACCTTTCTTTTGGCAAACTACAAAAGTAGTTTTATTTGTTAACTACATGTTAATCTCCTGTTGTGTTTCAGCTGGTAGCAGACTCTGTTGTGAAATGATATCAGTTAAAAAGCTTTACTTATCATTGCAAAATCTATTTAAATATAGCAGAAAGTACGTTTTCAACCTGAAGATTCTCCCACTGTCCTGGCCAGCTGTAATTATGATGGATAAGGCCCCATTCCATATATTGCTTTGCAGGCCTATTTTGACAGTAGTTCATTATTGGGCACGGCTAAATGCTTTAAAAGCATTGATTTGCGTGAATTACAACATCACATCGCCCTCCTGGATGGGTGGGGGCAGCCGAAGACTGATCGCAGGTCCACATATCATAACCCCCTCCTTCTCATCATCTCCTGGATATCGATTTCCACCATAAAAGGTGTTTAATTCAATCACAGGAAAACTGAGAGCCTTCTTTTCTGGGTTCCTGTCGATAGCCATTAGATCAATTAGAGTGGGACTCCTGCCATGCAGGTATGATGGGATATGAACTTGGGCGGGGAGCAAATAAGTTCTCTTCCATTTAGACGCTTATCTTTCGCAGCTCCTCCACAACTTTACTGGCAGTGCCTTAATGGGCTAATCAGACAGTTGTGTTGTGTTTCAGCACAGTTATGACAAGAACTAGGTAGTCCATGTTTTGCAAAGGGAAACAAGACTTTTACCAGAAATCCAAAGTCAGCCATTATGAAAATGGAACGAGATCATTTCAAGTACAACAGATCTCCGTTACAAGAATGTGGTGGGTAACACAGTGCGAAATCATCCTTAACAACTTCATTTTGTTGTTTTTTTTTAACAAAGTTTAGTTCTTGTGCCCTTTATGCTTAGAAATGTTTACAGACAACAGCACTCTCCAGCCCTCCAGACAATACCAGCTAACTCCATGGAAGTGTGCTCTCACAGTTTTGCAAACTCAACTCATTCCTGGTGTGAACAGTTGCCTCTGTTTCATCTGAGGCACAGTATGACTCAAGTCTCACTGGCCTGAGCTGTTCCCTGACAGGAGTCTGTCTTTTTGTCCTATCTTACATATACTGTACCACAGGGGGAGCACATGTGAACAGCAAACACAAGTCAATCACAGCTTGATCTGAAACTCAGCCCCTAGTGTGCAGGCATGAGAGGTTAGTATTGTACAGTATATCCCACACTACCAGGATTTGATTTTGTCAGTCATGAATTCTAAATGTCTCAGGTGTTGGATATGCTAGCCTTATTAATGAAAGACATTTTAATTCCCTGGTAATACCTGCAACTGTTTGGGAAGGCTTGAAAAATTAGTCCACTTAGAAATATTTTCCTTTTAAAACATGTGTTAATCAAACATTCAAAGGGAAAATAAAGCCCAGTGAGATCTGGAGAGACTTGCATTCTGCCACAAGAGGTGAAAATCTCTGCTAGTCATATAATCTCTTCGGCTTTAGCCTAGCTGTTCCTCAACAAAGAACAATAAAAGGAGCACAGAAATAAAAACATGCGATTTATCAACATCACCACAGACTGCAAGCAGCAAATTAAACAATATTTCATAATCACTTGGGGACAAAATAGCCAATTTGTACTTCAAATTCCTCTTTAATTTGAAGATACGATTGAAGCACTCTTCCCCTCTTCCCGTGTTCTGCAGTTAATTATCGGAGAAGATGTGCTCAGCAGCCCTGGCAGCACCTACTGCAGCTGCCTAATCAACTGTCCTTCAGTGGGACATGATAAACCCTTCATTTATCTTGTCTGGGGGGCTAATTATCCCCAGTCGTCTCCCTGACGATCTGTTTCAAGCACTCCACTGATCTGTGGGAGAAGTTGGCAAATTACTCTGCAGAAAATCTCTATTAAAACTATGATGACTCCCTCAGTACACCCCTTTTATGCATTCTAACAGCAGACAAGATCTTTGATGATATCTAAATGCCTTCTGCAAAACCAGGATTAATGTTGTACCTCAACAAGGGGTGTGAGCGTTCAATTGATCTAAAGGTTTGCTTAGAAACCTTAGAAGCTGTGATTTTGTTTTACATATAATTCCTTCAGAGGTCACTGGCTGATTGGTGACAGAACATTTTCCCTTCTGAAATTATACGAGTCTCTTGCCAAACTTTAGGATCTCACAAGTTCTAATGGAATATTTCATGAATTATTTTAATTAATAATTAATTGCATTTATATGGCTTAATGGATCCCTCAATGCTTTACACGTATGATGGGACCCCCATTTTATCCAGCTCCCAGATCTGTGTGATGCATGACACTACTGCTATTAAAAGTATTTCCCTTCAATTTGTAATTATTATAAAAAGAGCATTAAAGTCGCTTAGTAAAATGTTTTGTTTTCTTTCCATGTATTCTTCAATATAATAAAATGTCAATTTAACACCAATTTGATTGATTTAAATAAAGCAAATTTTCTTCTTATGCACCCAAGGTCATAGAATTCATAGAACATGAACTTTAACTCCACAAAGTTCAAATGTGGTTCTGCTTGTTTGTGTATCATGATTTAATGTATACAGGTTTTCGGGGGTCTAAAACCGAATAGAGTAGTGGTTTACTTCAGTTTACCTGTTTCCTCAGGGTTTTCTATAGGAATACCAAGCCAAAAAATTACCCAATTTTTCTGATACCCAGCTGTTGGAGAAAAGCAGATAATTGTGTCAGAGATCCCCAGCTCTCCCCCAAAGCTGCCCTATAAACCAGTTAGAGAATCCCCAAGTCTGGGCGTCATCATTTTCCAAAAGCCATCGATCTTCCCCTCTGGATTAATTCTTTTCATTTCCATGGCTCCCTCATAAATCCTGGCACAGTTAATTAATTTCAGTTTCAACACGGGGCCCCATAATACAGAATTGTTCTAGCAAACCCCATATTAATTATGCTATTTTGCAGCAATCTTATTGAAGGCAGTGTTTCATCTTTCATAATTACATTTTCAACAACAACTGCAACAAAAGACTAATTATGGTTTTGGCCCTGGTTTCTGTACAATAAGTCAAAACTACAGTCCTGGTAATCAAACAGCATCATCATCAGGATTATTTGTTTTATTTTACTTGTGATTGGTGGAAGATTTTAATACAAAAAGGTGTTTTGGGGGATTTTCCTTAGAATAACGTGGATCTTTCTTCATGAAAAGAAAAAAGATTTTAGATAATCTCCCTTTTGCTCAGGACAGGTTTGTGAATTCCATTCTGTGTTAAGTATTAGCTTGAACTGTTTTTTGTTTGGTTTGTCCCACCATAAATTAGCAGTATAATTGGAAAGCAGCACTGCCCATGTTATACCACATTTATACAGCAAGACTTGTGTCCGAGGTGATGATTGAATATCACATAGGCTTTCCAGGAATGTGTTAGCTAACTCCTAATCTGACTCCTCTACTCATTACAAGACTCCAAGTAACCACCCACATAACAACTGTGACAGGTCATGAATCAAGCCATAGTTATGACAGCCTTTAGCTCTGAGGGCAAGCTTGCAGAGGCAGCTATTAGCACCCCTTTGTTGTTGACCCTTATGGATTTATGGTTTGGAAAGAAAAAAAAGAAGGCAGCAACAACACTTACACACTATTACAAACCCATTTAAAATGGAACAAAGCCATGCAGCACTGTTGTGATATCAAAATATGACTGAAGCACCGTCACATCATCATTATGGGAAGAAATCAAAAATGTCCCTGTGTTCTGCTGTTACTGTAAAACCCTTCAATATCTCCTAGAGAAAGTGACTAAATAACACAAAGCCATTAAATATAATTTTATTGCTTTGCAACATAAGATTTTACCTGAGACAATAACTCTTCGGGTAAAGTCTCTGTAAAAAGACCACTGGTGTGTTCTTAACTCTAGAAGAGCTAGTCAATAGTGTCAAGGTGGTTAATGAATCTTTTTCTCCGTTCAATCTTTGAGCAATATAATCTAACAGTCCCATAACCTACTTAAAAAAAACACTTAGGTGTTTACTCAAGTGGCGTATTTTCTGTGCAGTCACAAACTGAGCAACTTCAGTGAACTGCACTGCAGCGCTGCACCAAGACCTTTACCAGACAATGACTAGATCTCGTGTACGTTTATTCCACCTGTCAGTAAAGCTCAGTGAATTTCAGATGGTTTTCATCATGAGGAATATGAACCATTTAGCTGGTGACGGTATATTGCAATTAGCTACCTAAAAGTGAACCTGTAATAAACAAAAACCTGTTCTTTATGTGAACCTGTAAAAGTTGCAAAACGAACCTGTTATAAACCTGTTATGACACCCGAAGAATGCTCCACAACCGAAACGCTTTGTTTCTTTTCTTCTCTTTTCAGCCTGGAATAAACCTTGACTTGTTCCTTTGCAGCCTACGCATGCTGACGCAGCTGCCTACTTAAACTGTTATAAGCATGGCTTCAAATGCTGGATTTAAAAAGAGAGGTCAAGTCTATAATCGTGTAGTGTGCCTTTAAGAGTGTGCCTATGATACTGGAATGTGGCAGCGTGTTGGTACGAGTGCAAGGGTAAGAGCCAAGGGGAAGAGCAGCCAAGTGTTTAAAGGCGTGTTTAACGTGTTGTGCACATGTGGCTTTAAAACCTGTCACGCGGACCCCTGGGCGCCTGGTGGATTTGTTCCTCAGCGGACCATCAGGAGCACAGTGATCAGCAGAGGTTAAAAGTTACAAATCACCCCCCCTCCTCCCCCCCCCGCAACACCACCTCCCCCTATCCCTGCTCCTTTGGGGGCCGGGGTCTCATTCGTATTCCAAGACTGCTGCTGCTGGGGAGAGCCTGTTGGGACCCGAGGGCAATTACTCCGCTCATTTAATTGGCGTTATCATTTTAGCGGCCTGACAGAGATGGATCACCACGCCGGACCGGGGCAGTCGTGTCTATCCGAGAGAGAGGAGAGGAGCAGGGAGAGGGAGCGAGACAGAAAGAAGGAAAAGAAAGACAAAACAGGAGAGAGACAGAGAGAGAGGCTCCCACTCCACAGGTAGAACCTACAAGCAAAAATTTGCCAACACCATTCAAATAGGCTTGTGATTGTGTTCACCTCCTCTTCGGCAAGGTGAGACCTGCTAGATGCACCTCGACACAACTGTCCTCTATTCTACCCAGTAGAGCTGTGATGAACATGTGTCTCCTCGATGAATAGGTGTGAATTATTTGGACTATTTAATTGGTAGTTGCAAATGGATCTGACCTCATGTCTTGTTTGTTCCACATTAGTTTGTACCCAGATAAACATAAAAGGTAAAAACCTTTCTCATCTTCTGAGTCCCATTCACTTTTTCCAAAGACACTTTTTAACTCAATGGGATTTCGCCATATATTGGATGTTTTTAAACACGTTTTACAATTAAGACTTTCTGAATAACCTCAGAATCCTTCATGTTTGCCACAGTCAGTTCTGGATTCCTTTTGTGATGTTGGTTTCCAGCCATGGGGTCCAGCCTAGGTTGGCTAGGATTAGGTCCTCAGTCCACTGCAGCTGAGGGCATGCGGAGCTCTGTCCTCTTCTGGTGGCAGTCCTGCGGATTACCGTCATTTTGTTTAACAACGACCTTTGAAATAAAAAATGGAAAACAATGGATACAAAAAGACTCATAGCAAGACACACAGCACCTTAAAGAGAGAACTACACTGTTATGGATTCTTCCTCCTCTTAGACCTTGCGTGTTTGTACACCAGCCAAAGAGTGGTGGAGAACCAACGAATCTTCTAACCCTGCCAGACCCGTAATGTCCCGGAGACATGAACGGATACACTGACTGCTGAGATAAGAACAGAATACTCCAGGACTTTTAAAGGGACTCAGGCAGGGAATTCTTTGCCCCTTTCTCTTTTATCTACTGGCTGTTTCAATTTTAAATTTCCGTGTATTTATGCTCCAGCTTATAAAAAAAGAAAAGCGCTCGTTCTGCTAAGAGCTGAGAATTAGCGTAGCTCTGTGTGAAGTAATGCAGCAACATAATGAGCTTTACTGCAATGATGCCATAATTCAGGAACAGTAAAACTGTCAGTTGAATTAAGAGAGACCCATTATAGGTACTATACATAAGCTCTTGTTAAATTAAAGAGATACAAGACGCCATGGTCTCTGGGGCCAAAGCACAGGATAATTTTAGCTACTTAGTGAATCATCCAGGTGGCAGTTTCTACCCACAGTAATGACCTGGATTTGCACCTACTTCCCCATAGGTGGGATGTAGATACACATTAAATAACTAAATTCTATAGAAGAGCTTTTATTCCTGCTGACAGCGTTTATTTACCTCCATCAGAAATGGTCTGGCTGCAGTGTACTTAGTGACACTATCGGCTACATGGTGTAACTACAGTGAAGCTTATACTCTATGTCTGACTGTAACTAGGGTATGAACAGAGAAGCCCAAATCAGCATGAGAAGAAACACACTAAAAGCCAATAATGTCCAGACACTTTGGGTACCTCTTATATACCGTAGCTTGCCTTTCATTTTTACTGCATGTGAAAAATGGGTCAGAAAGATTTAGTGCTCTCACTTTAAAAATCAAAGGATTCTTTTTTTTTTATGACAACTAGGAAAGGTATGTTAAATTAGCATTTAGTAAAGCTTTTCACACCTCATTTTTGTAATAGCTATTTGAAAGGTTTAAGATAATATATATGGTAGTTGGTCAAGACATTCAAAGCTCAGTTTCCTAGGTCAAGCACAGCACCTTTATGTACTCAAGTACACACAGTACATTTATATACTCAAAGACGATCTGTTGTTTTCTTTCTTGATTTCAGATCAAAAATCGTAATTCTGTTTGTCTGACCTTCATTAAGGTATGTTAAGTCCCATTAAGAAATCAAATATCTTTCTGTGGTACATGATCTGAAACCAGTGTATTGTATCTGAAAACATTCTCCTTTTCAGATACAGGATATGGGACCAACTACAGGACAGAGTGAAATATCTCATGCCATTCTCCCCCATATTTGACTGACCTGCTTACAGTTACTAATCTCTTCATTTAGTTCCCCTTCTCTGGGCTGGTCTGTGTGAAAACACCTTTTGAATTTAGTTCCATGATAAAAAAAACCCCTCTGCCTCCCACAATTCCTACAACTGTGTGTATACAAGAGGCAGGTCTGGAGGAATATGAAAAATGAAAACTATAAGAGACACAATAATAAAAATAGCTGTAAGAGTGGACAGGAGAGGTAAGCAACATGCCTGCGACTACTTCATTATTCACTGGCTCTTTTGCTGGTGTAAAAATGTGCTGCACACTGCAAAACAATGCATCACCGTGGACCCAAAACAAATGGCCTGTCGCTGGTGTATTTACCTCGAATTGTTCAAGCACTTGCAGGCAAATGCGTCCAGCTACAAATACAACCCACCAATACACAGAGATGGGCAGGCAGACAGGCTGAAGCCCGATTTCTTTCAACAAAATGAGAGATGAGGGGCAACAGCCCAGTTTCCATAATTTTTCCTCTTCTAAATTATAAGGACAACAGAAAAGGGACGATTTGATTCAATTACTTTGGCCAGGGAGGCAAGGGATCAAGAAAGCAAATATTCTCACCTGGCACTCTGCCGAGCTCAACACTGCGGTCTGATAAAACAATTAATTTGTAATATTAGCACACTTGGAACGTAAGGATACATTCTGCATAATGAATGTAACCACATTACACTTCAAATATAATGACAATAATTCAATTCAGTGCTATTGCATTCATCTCCAGCTTGTTGTAGTCCCTTATCTGTCACAATGGCAATTATTTACATCTCCCACAAATTACAAGCAAGCAATTACATGTCTGTAGAAATGTGGAGTTTACACACAGTCATAATTACATCGTTCTCAAGTTTTAAGTAAAGAAATATGATTGAATGATTTAAAAGGAAAGATTGAATCTGAGAGGGGGGAGCATAGCTCTATTAATCAAGTTCTTTTTTTTAGAAATGATTGGCGAGGAGTATCCCATATAGCAGATATGGACAGTAGGTTTCATCATAAGCTATTGGTATTATGCTTTCTTAATTTTTTTATTATGCTAAGTGCATGGTAAAGAAATTGGTGCAGAGTTCCATTTCCTAATGTCTTAGATACACTTACAATAGATTGATTGACAGATCAGTTATATCTGACAAAAGCAGCAAAGCACATGCTCTTGAGGAGACAAAGGAAATGTCAGACTGAGGAGAGCTGAATGTAGTCTCCAGATGAAATTAAAGGCACAGATATTCCAAACTGAGTTGACATGTGACTTTTCGATGAGCAAAACTGGTCACTCTTTCCATTTTCCAACCGCTTTAATGCAATACAGGGTGATGGGGGAGCTGGTGCCTAAACTGGCAAGCAACAGGGGCAAAGAGACCCTGGACAGGACACCAGTCCATCACAGGGCACACACGGACAAACACATATACCAATTCCAATTTTCCCTGAAGCCAATTAATCTACCAGTATGTCTTTGGACTGTGGAAGAAAACCTGAGCACCTGAAGGAAACCCATGCAAACATGGGGAGAACATACCAAATCCTCACAAACAGCATCCCAGGAATTGAACCCAGGGCTTCAGTGCTGTAAGACAGCCATGCTAACCACTGTGTCACCGTGCCACCCAGGCCTAAAATATCAACGAGGCTAATTATAGTCATGATCAAACACACAGCACATGTTCACGCGCACACCACTGTCCCCTCATCAGCAGCTGTTATGACCATGTTATGTGCGCTTGGACAGGGGGCAGTGATTTCAGGATCGAACTCTGTATCAGTCAGGGAAAGTATTTGCGCATGCACATGCCTCTCTTATTGTTGTTTCTATGAATGGAAGGGTGGGGGAGGAGGATATTTGGCACAAAATCCATCTGGAACTATTCTGCCAGAAGTCAATGGCCTTAATCACCTCTCATGACCTTTCCTAAGTGAGAAAAATGGAGGGGAGACCACAGTGCGCGCCAGTACAACCTCAGTCCGTACTCTCTGAGGCAAAACAATGAGGGAAATTCACTGGGAGGACCTGCAGCAGAACAGCTGTAAAAACGCAAGAAAAAGATAGACCAGAATCATTCTTTTTGAAAACTCTCTCCCTGGCTCTATTACTCACATAACAGCTTTTTTCCAGGACCTGTCATCTGCAGGGAAGAAGGGGTTAAAGGATGATAACGATTGTTACATTTTTTGGTGTCATTTTGTGCTGTTTAGCATTGTCTTCTGGGTCAAACGCTTGCATTCTGTTGCGTTTCACTTGTGTTGCATGTTTACTCCAAGATTTGCTGGCATTCTTGAACCAAAATGTACCTATGCAGCTGTTTGTGTGTCAGAAACTAATTGGAAGGCTAACACACGCATTGACATGCAATACCAAAGCATGCAGTTTCTCATTCTCCATCAAATGGACAGGTGAAGAGGTCTGTTTCACACATTGCCTGTGTTCCTTCTTTATAACCACGTCTTATGACTCTGCATTGCTGTCCCTGCTGAAAAATTTGAGACGTATCCAACAAACACAGATTTCTTCAATAATGAGTAATGTGTGCTTGATGTGGCAACATCTGTTAAGGAAATGGAGAGTTCTGTTTGGTGTCATCCGTAATTATGAAAACCTGTGCAAGACGAGCCTTCCTTACGTTGAAATTTGGACTGGTCCACCAGATTCATTTTGATCAGAGATAACCACTCACGCGCTGGAGCGCTGCAGGGAAGCTACGAAACAGCACCCATAAATAATACACTTGTAGACACGTGCCCTGGCTGCAGACGAAGCTTTAAGGAACAGGCTGTTGCTGTCCTGGATATGAGCATGCATTTAGATGCTATCAGTCCATCTTAAGCTTTTCCTCTGGCTTTTCAAATGTTTTTTATCATAATTTAGGGAGAGCTAGTGTAAAGTGTGATGAAACAATGATAGAAATAAAGCCAAAAGGTCACACCATGCTGGTAAATGTCTCATTCTAGCTGGTGGCCCCTGTGTAGAAAAGGGTAGAAATCTTGGGCAAATGGTAGAGCAGGTTCAACACCAAATGACTTTAATCAAACAAAAAATGCAACATGCGTTTGGCCTCACAAAGAGTAAAGCTGGTGGTGGGTCTGCCAGTAAAGAAAGCTGGTCTTACAAGGTCTAGAGGCTTTGCAATCTCAATCCACAAGTCTGAATTTTCACCCTTGGCAGTCACCTCCTCGTGGTGCACTTCTGTGTTTACCTGGAAATCAGTTTCAAGGTTCCAGAATTCCAGAACATGCCTATGCCCCTGTGATTATGAGTATAACCTCTTAACCAGAAAGGCGTTCAGCGCGCTGCCTGTACACTCGAGCTGTACCTTTGATAAATACTCTCTAATTACCCAACAACACTTACTGCCATCCCTGGAAGCAGGACTCGCCCTGGCTAAGATTAAACAGCTTTGCTACTGCATTGAATTATTCCTTTTAGAACCATTATTTCACTCCCATTCACTTAAGGCTTCTATCTCTCCGGCCAATCTTGCACACTGCTGAAGTGAAGGTGGGGAAGGAGTGGGGGTTAGGAAGGCTTTTCTTCCCCTTAATGCATTCAGTAATGATAATATTTTAAA